TTTTTAAACAGCCTTGACCTCCTGGGCTCAAGCCAGTGTCCCATCTCAGCCTCCCTAGTAGCTGGGACTACAGGTGTGCACCACCACAGCTGACTAATTAAAATTTTTTTTTGTAGAGACAGAGTCTTGCTGTGTTGCCCAGGCTGGTGCCAAACTTTTGAGCTCAAGTGATCCTCCTGCGTCGGCCTCCCACATGCTGGGATGACAGGTGTGAGCCACCACACCCAGCTGTAGGTCCTACATCTGACTCCAGTTACGTCATCCTGAATAACAGAGAGGCTCTCTAAAAGAAAGTGATATTTATTCCAGAATGCATTGCAGTGGGAATGTGTGTGCCATGGTAAACTGTGTGTATATACAGGGAGGTAAAGGAAGCCAAAGGTTTTTCAAGGAAAAGTGAGGAGGATCACCTAATTGTTTTGAGATAATTATCCTTGGCTACAAGGATCGATAACAAAGGTGACCTCAATCTGAGGTTGGAGAGGGTTAGGGTTAAGTTGCTCAGCCACGTGCAGTGGCTCACAACTGTAATTCCAGCACTTTGGGAGGCCGAGACAGGTGAATTACCTCAGGTCAGGAGTTCAAGACCAGCCCGGCCAACATGGTAAAACCCTGTCTCTACTAAAAACACAGAAATTAGACAGGTGTGGTGGTGCTTGCCTGTGATCCCAGCTACTCAGGACGCTGAGGCAGGAGAATCACTTGAACCTGGGAGGTGGAGGTTGCAGTGAGCCGAGATTGTGCCACTGCACTCCAGCCTGAGTGACAAAGCAAGACTCTGTCTCAGGGGAAAAAAAAAAGTTGGCTGGGCACAGTAGCTCATGCCTTTAATCCTAGCACTTTGGGAGGCTAAGGCAGGTGGATCACTTGAGGTCAGGAGTTCAAGACCAGCCAGGCCAACATGGTAAGCCCCATCTCTACTAAAAACACAAAAATTAGCTGAGTGTGGTGGTGCGTGCCTGTAATCCCAGCTACTTTGGAGGCTGAGGCGGGAGAATTGCTTGAATCTGGGAGGCGGAGGTTGCAGTGAGCTGAGATCGCACCACTGCACTGCAGCCTGGGTGACAAGAGTGAAACTCCTTCTCAAAAAGAAGAAAAAAAAGTTGTTGGGCAGATGTCTTTGCAGTATTTTTTCTTTTCTGTGTGACTGGTTTCTGCAATTTTTGTTACCAGGCATTTGTGCACAAGAACCTCCCTTTACAGCCTTCCCCAGCTCTGTTGTTTTTTTAACACAAGTCACTCCATTTTGATTCTGACAACTGTCACAGCAAGAAAGGTGGCAGCTCTTTTCTGCTGGGATATTCACACTGGGACTTCTGTTACTGCCTCCTTACCCGGGAAGATGGCGTGTTGGAAAATTAAGCCAATACAGAAGACAGAGCCAAGAGGTGGAGAGAGCCCAAGTCCCTTGGGCTTTGGGGTCCATTACAGGAGCAATGCATTCCACCATCTGCCCTTTTTGTCTTTTGTTTATGCCAGTTTGAGTTTGAAGTCTGGCATTGTGAGTCGGGATGTCCTCACTCCTAAAGGGTAGGCCCAGGGGGCGATACTCTGGTTAAACAGGACCGTGGGATATATCAAGCTTCCTGCTTTTTGGGAAGTCAGCCAGGCTGTGCTCTGCGCCATCAGCTTCCTAGCCTGTGTTGGGCCCCTTGGGGGACAAAGCTGGCCTGCTGCTTCCATCTCTGTGACACTGGTGACCCCAGTGATGGTGCAACCCCATGAAGAAGTAGGGGCTGTCACTGTGGCTCACTCCGGTGTTCTTGGATCAGTTCAGGCACTTGGTGAATGTTTAGTGAACAAATGAGCTGAATGAACAAATGGAGAAAAGCTGGGCAATCACGGCAGCTGGGTTGGAGAGGCACAGGGGAGCTCCAGCCCCTCCCAGCCTGGCAGTATGGACAGTCGGTGAGCTTCCATTTTGTTTGGGGGCAGCTGCTAACTTTGTGGAATGGTACTTATCTGACTTCTAGTCTTGCTGCACCGAAACTCTCCCATGCCCACTAGGGACATTTACCTTTGTACAGTGGGGACAATGAGCACACTTACAGGCTAGGGTTGTGGTGAGGTATTACCTACAGTATAACAGGTATTGATGCAAGAAGGAAGTTGAGATTTGTGTCAACATATAGGGCCATGTGGGTGCAGATGAGACGGCACTGGTCACATGTTGACCACCAGAGGCAGGGGATGAGCACATTGGAGTTGGTGACAGTCATCTGTCGGTATCCGATTGGTGTTCCAGGGTACCCTACAGCTGCCAAATTCCAGGGATGCTCAAGTCCCTGATATAAAATAGCATAGTATTTCCATATGACCTATGCGCATCCTCCTGTATACTTTAAATTCATTTTTAATTATGGATACATTATAATTGTACATATTCCGTTTTTGTTTTTGTTTTTTGAGACAGTCTCGCTCTGTTGCCCAGACTGGAGTGCAGTGGAACGATTTCAGCTCATTGCAACCTCTGTCTCTGTCCCCAGGCCCAGCTAATTTTTGTAATTTTAGTAGAGACAGGGTTTCGCCATATTGGTCAGGCTGGTCTCGAACTCCTGACCTCAGGTAATCCACCTGCCTCAGCCTCCCAAAGTGCTG